AATGAATATAGAAAAAAAAAGATTTTAAATTCTAAAAATAATGTATCTTGCAACACATTATCTAGACTGTCAATTGTCAAGATTTTCATATGTTTATAGATCTACTTGATTTTAACTATTTTTGGAGTTTAAAATTTTATAATTAAACGTGAAAATAAATTTTCAGATCATTCTAAGTATTTTTACATCAAAATTATAAATGATATGTTATGAAAAAATTTGGAAATGTGCCTTAATTGGATTGTTTAAGATTGCAAGCTAATAAAAACCAATATATATATATATATATATATATATAAAGGTCTTATCGAAAATTTTATTAGTAATAAATAAATTTCTACTACTAATAGAAACAGTAGGGTGAAGGTCATGTCAAAAAAATGGGAAAGATCGCCCGTCAAAGAAAGGGTGGAAGAAATAAGTTTCGTGTCAAAGGATGGAAAGGTCACGAATGTGGGAGAATAATTTAGTGAGAAGAAAGGGTGGCAGAACAACGTTTGCTTTGGATGTTGGACCCTAGTATAGTAGCAGTTGGTTGAATGCCACTTTCAAGTGTCAACAATAGGAAAGGGCACAAGTAAGAAGGAAAGGCTGGGAGAATACTGTATATTTACTCCCTCTAATAAAATATCTACCTCAGGGTATTAAGCTCTCCCAAAAAGGAAATGTTTCTATATGACCCTATGTGAATCCACTTCTTAGCCGTTTGATCAGAATCGAAGGGTTATGATGGTTCATACCACAATGTCATGTCATGTTTTATTTTTTTATTTTTATTTTTAAAATTTTTTTTTAATGAAATTTAGGGTGTCCCATCAGAAAAATAGGACAAACATGTAAAAAATAAAACAAAAATATTTCATATAAAAATAAATGACCAAAATACCTTTGAAATTTTTAAGGGTATTCTGGTACTTTTTATTATCGAAAATATTTTTTTTATATTTTTATTAAGCATGCCCCAAAATTTGTTTCAAAATTATTTATAGAATAATAAATAAATAAAAAATACCATGAGCTGTCTAATCAAGATCTGATGGTTAACTGCTAGCTTATGACATTGTGACTCAAGTCATCTCATCCATCTACTCACATTTGATGGCTGAGACCAGGCGTCACATATATGGTATATGTGGGTGGGGTCACAAAAAAAGCCCTCCCCTCTCAAAATAAGCTCCAATCGAGTATAAAGTACACTTACTCCCTCATGTTAAAGACTTATTTTGGATGATATTTTTCTTTTGAAATTTTTGGAACTATATATATCAAAAAATAAAATTAGGTTTGGAATTCTTAAGTATCTCGCTCTCCAAACTTTACTCCTGGGACAATACTCTTTTCAAGCCCCTAGATATGAAAAATATTTTATTAAAGTTGGCCTATGGGTTGAAACGTTGAAAGTGTTGCGTGCCCAAACTTTAGGGTCATTAAAGTATTCCTAGATTGAGTTTTACACAATGTTCGTAAAATTGAACGAGAAGGTTAACCAGATATGAGGCTTAGAATTGGAACAAGACCGGGCGATTAACTGGACTGACAGGTTCTGTAGATTTTTTTTTTAAGAAAAATGTAGGCTATAAATCCCCGCCACCCAGCCCCCACCCCCCCCAAAAAAAAAAAAATACATAGATTTAATATATATCATCTCATTATATGCATTTATGTTAATATTTTTTTTTAGATGATCAAGGTGGATCAATAACCACTTTTCTGAGCCTGCTATCAAATCCAAATTCCAAAGTTTAAAATTTGAGCAACAGGAAAATGAATATTTATTCTACAATAATGCAAACTAAAGTAGCATCCTTTTAAGCCAAAATAGGATAGGATGCTGTTATCGTTATGTATTTCCATATAAGAACAGTAAAACAAACAATTTTATTAAAAAATAATAATATTAAGCTAAATAGAAAAATACTTCCTATATTCATCAAAAAACGTTATTACTAATTTTATCAAAAAATAATTTTATTTAGGAAGATAAAAAACACTTCCCATATTCATCAAACAACGTAATTTTATTAAAAACGTAATTTAATCAAAAAATTAATTTTATTAAGAAAAATAGAAAGACACTTTCCATATTCATCAAAAAACATAATTTTATTAAAAAGACATAATTTTATCAAAAAATTAATTTATCAAACAAAATAGAAAACCACTTCTCATATTCATCAAAAAAACATAATTTTATTAAGAAATAATTTTTTTCAAAAAAAAATTGATTTCTCAATAACCCCTAAAATCAACCAAAATTTCCAAGCAAGAAACAACTATCAATGTTTGAATAATCGAACAAATCAACACACATGAATGATAAAGGCTCTGATCATCTTTTAAACACACCAAGTAACATAAAAAAAATATTATGCATTTTGGATTTAATTAATCAAATGACGGAAATTTCAGATCTTTACAATTTTCATGATATTGTGGAACAAAAAAAATCATAGAAAAAAATTACTAAATCATAAATGAACATAAGAATTTTATTTGAGATATGAAGGCTTGATGATCGAAATACACATCTAAATTTGACAAAGAACAACTAATAAATGGATAAAAATATGTTTTTCTGGATCAAACACATGTTCTCTGTACAATTGCATTTTGGGCCAAAATCAACCCACGATCTTTGGTGTTTTGAACAAATTGAAACATAAATCTGATAAGTACTTATAATATCTATCAAAACCATCATATTTCTTCGAGAGCCATTAGGTATTGAAGTTATTATTGAAAGAATGACGGAAATTTTCGAAAACCTAAAAAATCCACCATTTCAATCCAAGAAATTCTTTTTTTTTTATGTTAAATGCAAATTACTTGTTTTGTATTCATTATATAGTGATTTCCAGCATTAATCACAAAAAAAAAAATTTCCGAAAAACAAATAAAAAAAAGGTAAAAATTGGATTCATGATTTTCCCGCAATATATAATAGACCCTATTCAAACTAATGCTCGTTATTAATATTGTACCGCTATTTTAAAAGCCTTTATAAAACCGGCCAGTTTGAATAAACTACGCCCTATTCGACCCTTAAATAACCGGTTTTGGGCTGGAAAATTTTGGGGAGGGGGGGGGTCACCTAGGCTACTAATCATGCAAAACCGGCCCTAACCGGTGGAGATGATGGTGTACATGTGGTGTAGATGAAAGCTAATAAATGCGCCCTTCCGTGACATGTTCATCGACGAGTTGAACAGTGATGGAGAGAGAGAAACATGCGTATCTTTGGGTAGAGAGAGTAAGTTAAATTTTGAAATAGGACCATATATTGATTTGTATTGATTTTATGCTATTAAGACAAAATAGAATGTCAATAAAATTTTAATTTAAAGCAATAAAGAACTAACCACAAAATCTTTGTGATTGAAATCTACCAAATACTTTTCATATTCAAACTTACCAAAAAATAATACAATTTTATAATTGGAGCTTGCAAATTATTTTGAAACACACCTAGTATTTGCCATGGTCCTTAGAAGACTAAACTTTGACAAATGAAGATTTGGCGCAGTTAGAAGGAAGTCTATTAAGAAACTCAACGGAGTTTGTTTTTATTTTGGATGTTGCAGCCATAGACGAATCCCATGCTCATAGCCAAAACTCCAAGAAAATCCCATCAATTATTATGTATTTTCTCTCTCTGAAGTTTCGAACTGAAGAACCAACCCGTCAATGAATGATTGTGCCCTAGGGTTATAGTATAATGCAATTTTTTTTGACATATCATATACCTGGATGAGACAAGTTTTGTCCCAAACATTTCATAAAACAATTATAGCATAATCTGGCTCCAAAATCAATTGTTGTTCCCTGCAAAATAAACACAATAAAAAAAGAAAAATTATTAGAAGTATACATTTATTTCTGCCTAATTGAAAAAAAAGAAAAAGAAAAGAAAACTTTCGTAAACCTCATCCACATCCTTTTTTGACATTTTTTAAACCAAAATAGCATTCACAGTAATCGTATTATTGTGAAACCCTAGTATTATGGTACTTTAAGTACCATAACCCCATTTTATATAACATTTTAAATGTGATAACTCGGAGTATCTTAAATGCCAAAACTAAGGGAAAATGGTGTGGAAGAGGTTTATAAAAGTTGTGGATTTTTCTTTTCTGACTTTTCATAAATTAAGTTATATTTCTGATAATTTTTCAAAAAAAAATTGAAAAAGCATTGATAGGGTTATCGATACTTGGATCTGTCCCCAAACTACATAAGGAGCATGGGATGCTAATCCAAATCCTATAGGCCAAACCCCATACAATGCGAGCAAATCATGTCACTTCATTTATTTTATTTTATTTTATTTTACTTTTCATTATTTAAGAAACCCTGCATTTTATAGAGTTCTTACCTCATAAAATTAATTATAATAATTAATGGCCCATAAGATTAATTATAATAATTAATGACATATAGGAGTTGAGATTCAATTGTAACTCCTATCTTTATTTTCCGACATATAGGAGTTGAGATTCAATTGTAACTCCTATCTTTATTTTCCTTAAAAGGTATTAGGAGTTTTGATAAGGTGTGATACTCGCATTAGGATTAATTATGTCATAAAAAGACCTAACAATATTTATATTTATATATGACTCTTTTTATGTTAATACCGTAATATTATTACCTAATATGTTTATGCACATAATAATTGGATATCATGAAAAGCGACAATTTCAATATTGCACTGTGTACACCCTCTCAGCAAGTCTCCCCAGAAATTGAAGGAGAATATACACACCTCCCCTTTCCATAAACTACTGGTTTAAGTTACACATCCCTGGGTTTTTGAGGCACCATTGTGGCTGGATAGGCTCAGCCCCCACCCCTCTCGCCACCATCCGATATCGCCACTCATCGAGACGATCAGTGGCCTCCGCATACCTCTTCATCCCCGTCTCACCCCAATTCCCTGACCACATTGCCTCGGCAAAGTCCGCCGTCCTTGGCCAAAGCCTTGCATCCAACACTGTCCCATCAGCTTGCTCCGGCCACAGTGCCACCTCCCCACCAAGCACTAGCTTTGCCGCCTTTGTGGTTAACCCATTCGTTATATCATAATCGTAAATCCTCTGCCATGTTTTGAAAGGACCGCACCATGAGCCCCCATTGCCCTCATCACCCCGCCTGTCATAGCTACTGTCATTGCCCAAGAAATCACCATGCCCACAATCGAAGTAGTAGAAAGCAGAGGACGACACTATTGCTCTATAACCCGAGGATGTTATGAGCTTGGTGTTGTGAGGTCCATTGCTCCATGACTGCAAGATGGTGGTCTCCTTCGGGAGCAGCTCAGGCTTCGCGTTAATAGTGGAGCTGACAAGGACATCCTGAAAGTAAACTGCAGTGCGATTAAGGGTGAGTGGCATTAATATGAGTTTCGAGGAGTTGGCTCAAAGTTCCCCCAGAGGCTAAGAAAGCTTGGATGTTGGGATCAGCCTTCGAGCAACCAGGGACGACCTCGTCACCTCCAGCATGGAGGAAGGAGTCGGGGAAGAGTGCAGCAAGGTCGCGAAGAACTTTGCGAAGGAGAGGATAGGTGTTAGGGTGGAGGGGGTTAAGATGTCCGGTGCCGGGCTGAAGAGCCAGCGGGTCTTTGCCAGAACATGTTGGCGCAGGCCACAATCTTAATCTTAGGGTATGCTGCTGCCCATGAGGCGGTATGCCCTGCGCTAAATGAACCGGTGAGGTCAGGCACTCGTCTGCACAAAAATTCGCCACCTAGCCAGCCATTTTCTCAAACTGCCTGTAGCATGTTTGTCCCTTTAAGCGGCCACCTAGATGCCCACTTAATGCCACCCCTAAGAAAAAATAAAACATTCAAATCCACAAAAAAAATATAAAAATAATAATAAAAATAATTAAGTATGCGTATTGTCCCCTCTCCCTCTCTCTCTCTCTATATCAGGTCTATGTGCTCTCTTTGCCCAGGCCCTGTCCCCCTTAGCGGCCGCCGTTTTGAACCGGCTAGTCTGGTTAGTAGGATGAAGGAAAACTCGAACTAAGAATTCATTAAGGGCATATTTGTCTCGCGAAAGTTCTTTTCCCACTGGACAATTGCTATCCCATATTTGTTTTCTGGAAATCAGTACTTAAATGTAGCCGCTAGGAAAGTATTTCTCTAGCCCTTCCTTGCTCTATATATTTTGTGAGAGAGCTGAGGGAAAGTTCTATCTTGGGCCCAGAAAGAACTTTCACAAAAACAAATGTTCCCTACGATATTCTCTTAGCCATAATAAATTTAGGGTGGCTCATCACAATCTATTGATGGTTTGGATGGTGATCCAGAGTGAGTGGAGCCACTCATATCATAGACGGATCGCTCTCTCTCTAATGGTCAAATCCATCAATTGGACAGCGAACAATGATGGCACCTGTGACCTAGGCGTTTCCATACTAAACGGAACTATAGCTTCCCTTTTGCGGAAGGACGTGGTTAGCATGCGAGTGGATAAATGTGGGCTTGGCAATGAATATATTTTTTTAATATAATTTGATCTTAATTTTTAAAGAATATATAAACTTTAATATGAAGATCATGAATACGAATAAATAAATAAATTTTGAAAACTAGAAATAATAACTATATTGAGAGAACATTTGGATCGTTAGTTGCAATTATTTTTAGATGGAACACGCATTTGCATCCATCTTTAAGATTGATGTTTTATACCTTTTGACCATATATTGTACAAGGGAAATGACTTTGTGAGATCCTCTCACACTCATGTGTATAAGACTCTAAATGATCACTATTAAATTTGACACAGATATCTAGAAAAGCCAAGTCTCACACTTATGTGATAACTTTTCTAGAGATCTGTGTCAAATTTAATGATGATCATTTGCGATCCTACACACATGAGTGTGAGAGGGTCTCATAAGATCATTATTCATTGTACAAATATGGCCCAGCCCGCATAAAACAATTGTTCTTTGTGGAGATCCAATTCCATGTGCGTATCTGCCAAGTCAAAGTGGGAGACGGGAAAGAAATAGGGATGAAGGTGTCCTACATGGAGTTGAGGGGCATTTTGGCTGAAGCCCATCCACAATTTTAAGGTCCTTGCTAATAGGTTTGGGACATTGGTGGGTAGGGAGGCTACTGCTTCAATATAACATTCTAAGCTTCATTCCTACTATTAACATTTCCCAAACAAAAAACAACAAAAATTCTTTTTTTAAGGTCTTTGATGTCGTCGCACTGTGATTTTCTTCGGACACTTTTTTTTGGGGATGAATCCGTTCGAACAACCTTAGCACTCGAGAGCTAAACTTCTTGGAAATCTAATGGGGTTAGAAGTTCCAAATGACTGAAGAAATGTTTTTTAAAATTTGTTTCTATATGTTTAACAAATAGTGTAGTGCAAGATTATTTCATTTTCCAAGAATCAATCTTAACGACATTTTTTGGAATTTAACGGACTTTTCCTAGGGAAAAAGAAAATTTTTTATTGGAAATCTAATATTTCTTTAAATAGAAACAAATAAAAAATAAACTTCATTTGGTGTGTTGGGCAAATGTGTTTGCACCTTTGAGAGATTGGGGGTTGGGTATTAGGAGGTTGAATATATGAACTCTGTCGTACTTTTAAAATGTTGGTGAAGGATTCACATCCAACAAGACTCTTTTCTGAGTACAAGTTTTGAGAGATAAATATGGCATGGATCTGACCTATGGACTCGTCAAAAGCCAAAAAAACAAGACAAGGCTATCCCATATTTGGACGAGGATTGATTATGAGAAACCTATTTACTTGCAACCAATGGTTTAAAAAACGGATCGGTGACCCAGATCGGGCTTCCAAAAAACCGATCCGGATAGACGAATCGGCGATCCGGATCGGGAATCGGGTGAATCGGTCATAATAAAGCTTAAAAAAAATTCGAAAAAATTATTAAAATTCATTATAAATATTGTTTTTTAAGAATTCAATAAAAAATGAGGGTACTCCATTAAGAATTTTCATGTTTTTGAATAAATATGCGAATATTGATATGTTCTTTCCCTGCATGAACCGCCATTCAGCATTTAATTTACAGTATTTCGTGCTCATCCCTACACTGTTGCTGTTGGGAC